GTTCAGAAGGAAGGCAGATGGGTTCCGCATGAATTGTTCGAAAACAACAAAAATCGTCGGCGTGACACTGCACTCACTTTGCTTTCAAAATTCCGGAAAAAAGATTTTCTGCACAAAATCATTACAGGTGATGAAAAGTGGATTCTTTATGATAATCCTAAACGTAGAAAATCATGGGTTGACCCTGGTCAATCTTCAACATCGACGCCCAATATCCACGCCAAGAAGATTTTGCTCTATATTTGGTGGGATTGGAAAGGTGTGTTGTATTATGACTTGTTACAATCGGATGAAACAATCACGGCAGACCGCTACCAACAACAATTGACCAATTTGAGCGATGCATTAGAAGAAAAGAGGCCATTTACTGGCCAAGGACATCGTAAAATGATTTTGCTTCATGACAATGCTCGACCACATGTTGCGAAAGCGACTCATATCTTTGCGTTAGGCTGGGAACTTCTCCCGCACGCGGCGTATAACCCAGACATCGCCCAGACCTTCCGATTATTACCTATTCCTGCATCATTTGGCTGATACATATTTCGTGAGATTTGAAGAGATACGAAAATGCATTGATGACTTTATCGCTTCGAAGCTGGTGAGCTTCTATCATCAAGGAATTCTATCATCAAGCAAACTACCCGAAAGATGGCAAAATGGTCGTTGATGAACGGGGAATAGTTTGCTGATTAATATTTTTTTGTTTGTTTTTGAATAAAGATTGAATTTTACAAAAAAAAGCTCAGAACTTTTTTGTGCACCTAATAAGTAGAATATTGCTCATGCAGATTGCTACGCAATTACCCTAATAGCACTCGTCTATTCTGAGAACGTTCCATTTGATATCATACAAGTATATTCGAGATATTCTTCGAACATTCGAAATACGTACTGCGATATACTGTGGAATGTACTTAAATCGTTATTACCGCTCACTAATCTAATCCCTAGTATGTACTGAAGAATATTCCGCAATATGGCCATAGGATGAAAATGGTTTAAAAACAGTATATCATGTAAGGCATGCATAAAGGTATCCTAGACAATCATATAGAAAATCTATAATATATGTAACATTTCTTATGAAAAATAAGTGAAAAAAATGAAAAAAAATTAGAGAAAGTAATGAATTTTTTATCTTGTATCATTGCATGTTTTTACATATTTTATATATATAAAATATGTATTATATATATAAACTTTTATATATATATGTATATATGTATACTTCTTATGGAAAAATTGCATAATTATATTTTTATAAGAAAAGTATTTTGCACAATATTTTTAAAAAATATAATTATGCAATTTTTTCATAAGAATTATATTTATAAAATTTATAAAATATATTCGATCAAGCAGTTATCATCATGGATCGAAAATAGA